TCCCTCCGCCTTGCACATTCGCATTCAATTTTGTAACCACCCCCCTTTGTTTACGATCCTTTACGAACTCTTCACGATCACTAATCCAATCACAGTAGCATTATTTATATCGCATCCCTTGGCATTTTCTCCACACGTTCATCTCCATGATTTCCTCTTCATCATCATCATCATCATCATCGACCATTATCAACAGTAGGATTTTCAATTTTTTTCATCATTGACATGTACATGTAAAAAACGCTGTAAACAGTGTGCATAGTACTACACATATTTATTCTTGTACTTGTACGATTCGTTTGATCCATCTCTAATCAAGCTCGCATTTCGGTGCTGTATCAGTTCAGTTCTTGATCGTGGAGTGAAGTTCGATTCAAACCAAGAAAGATCGGTACGTCGCACAAACAATTGCTGTCAGCGTTTTGGATTTTGTGTATGTGCATGCGTTCGACTGATCAAGTGATTCATAAAGGGGGGATTAGAGTGACAGCTGCTACAATTATCATGCTATCTGGCTGTTGTATACAAGCGTCCATAGTACCTAATTTATCAGGTCCATTGAATTACTCCGCGCTCGTGCGTGGAACTCTTGATCTCATATCTCGATTATACTACTTCCCATAGCCATCTTGCTCCAAAGGAAAGGGCTCGACATCACCTCATGCTTTAGCCCTCCACGCAATGGCTACCGTTTAGCACCATGAGACTAGGATGCCTTTATCGTGAGGTCAACAGGTCCCTAAGCGCTCCAAACCATGATGTTGGATCGTTCCTTTTTTGATTTACTACTAAGATGACCTGTCTATTACCGAGCTACAGGGCCCCTCTCCCGCTGATCCGTTGGTCCAAGTTCGAGTCGCCATCCCTCCCGAGCTCAATCGACTGCACCCGACCAGTTTACATTTGAAAGCATGGACTATGATCGGTTCGATCGAATTCAATGGTCGCTCGATGGATCGCCCTGTCCCGTCGGGGATGTGTGGCAGCTAACCGAATCCCAATGTTTTAGTACCAACGTTAGGAAATTTTATGATTCGGATGAAAGGGCAGCTTCGAAATCGCCATGAGCAATCCGAGTCGAAGGGGTGGTTTAATCCTCGTGTTTGTCCCGAGTTCTCGTTGCAGTATTTCTGTCATTCAAACGATCGTATGTACTTATCTAATTCATAGACACATGCAATTCAGTTACTGAAGCGCTCGAGCCGCAAAGGATTTCTGTCAATATTGAGTAAATATTGCCCTGCACTAGACTTCAAGTGGTTCGGCGATCTTTCTGGAATGCTCCCAGAGCTTCTCTCTTTGCTCCTCTGTCCCATACCAGCCTTTGTCCTTCAAATCCTCGCCTTTGACACCTATTCTCCACGAGCTTCCTTTATCGCCTTCCCTCGTTTTTGATGTCGTATATATTCCGTGCCATTGATAAGACGCGCACTGCTCTGGTGTGCTTGTAAAAAGCGCCAGAAGCGGCATAACACCATTCATCAAGCGCAGGCCAGCAGAGGGTGAAGAAGCCAAAGCATTGGTGCGCACAATTCCAGGGGTCGAATGAAGAAAGGCAATCGAAGGGTTGAGAAGAGAGAATTTCTGCTCACGAATTTAGAGCGGTTGATGAGCTGAGCCCCACAACCAGGAAAGAACAATTGTAAACTCACTTGCGTCGGAAGAATGGCCAGACGCGGCCAAGGAACGCTTATCACGACGGAACGTCATTGGAATTCGAATAAGCTTCAGGAATCATCTCGGATTGAATCCTACTATCACCTAAAGTATTATTGCAATATACTGTCAACTATAACACGTACATAAGATTATAAAAACTATACAATAGAATTCTCTGGGTCCGTCTAGCCTATAAAAATCCAATCAAGGCTAACTAATGCGACACCGATGAAACAGCAGCTTCGACAACACTTTTTGTGTGTTCCCAAAGCTTCTCGGTCTGCTCTTCTGTTCCATACCAACGTTTATCCTTGATGTCCTCGCCCTTAGACCCTATCCGCCATGCACCAGCGTTCTTCCCATCGTCCACCTTAGATGTAGTATAGACACCGTGCCATTGATATGGTGCACATTGCTCGGGGGTTGTTGAAAACGGCGTCAAAAGAGGCATGAGGCCATTCATCAACCGTAATCGAGCAGATGGCGATGCGGCGAGGGCATTCGTGCGAACAATACCGGGTGTTGAGTGAAGGAAGGATATGGAAGGGTTGAGGGCGGAATATTTCTGGATTAAAGCAACTGTTTAGAAAGAATTGAAATAAATTAAATAAGACTGGACGCACCTTCATCATCAAGTCATTGTAAGTAGGAGCTGCAAGTGCCACTCTGGTCAATGTATAACTGCCCTCCTTTGCAAGGCCAAAGTCATCTACATCAACCTCTCCACCGACTCCTGCACCCAAGACACTAAGGACCTTCGCCTCCTCTCCCTCGTCCTTGGCCTTCTTCAGAGAGGGAAGCAGGTCGTTAATAAACTTCCATCTTGCGTAATAGTGCACGGCGAGCTTCTTGTCAATACCTTCGGTGGTGGGTGTGAATCCCTCAAGGGTAATATACCCTGGTGTAAGGAGAAGATAGTTGATTTTGGGATACTTTCGAAGTATCTCTGACGTAGCAGTTTGCACATTCTTCATGAGCGATGCGTCGCATTCGATGAAGTCACGACTTGGGCCATCTGAAGTTGACGAACTCGCTGGACGAGGTAGAGACTCGAGAATGCGTTCTGCAGCACCGCGGTTCCGGCCAACAATGACGATGTTGCTGTGTCCATTGGTGTCACTCGCGAAGACCCGCGCCAGGCCCTCGCCAATGCCTGATGTGCCTCCGACGAATACCGCAGTTGGTAGGCGCGAAGACGTTGAGCTCAGAAGATTTGATGAGACAAATGCAGCGTTGGAGGAGCGTATAGAGGAGAGTGCTGAAGAGAACATAGGAAGAGTGATACGGTGGGTCTGTGTCAATGATCTTCTAAAGCATTTGCAAAGGCTTCCTTTTAACAGGATTGTCGGAGGCAATGCACAAGCGACCTACTCAGGCTGCCTGATGTCGTGTCCTGGGTCCGGGGCATCGCAATACTTAACATCACGAAAAGATAGCCTGCCGAATCAAAACGACATCTAAGACAATCAATTGCCAATGATCATGCGTAGCTGCGGCTTGAGGATTAGTCAAATAATATGTGTACCATCGGCCGTCATCCGGGAAATACCGAAAGCACCAATTTGGATAAAATGTCGCACATTCATTAAGGGTTGCACTGCACTTGGCAGCTCGACGACAACTTGTAGAGCGTCAACCCAACGCGTACTCATTATCAGAAGGCATAAATATGTATTAATCTGTGCAAAGCAGGTTTTCAGCAGGAAAAAGCGAAGATTAAGTACTTCCATAAGACGATTATTGATGAAAATGTTCCACTATCACTATTTGAATGTGCGAGGCGGACTCAGATTGATAATCGTCTGGGGAGAGACTTACATTGCACTCGGGTTTCCAAAAATACAGTTTTACATAAGAGATGTTCAAAGGAAATGAACACTGTGCCACTGTGACGCGTTTCCTTGAGATAGGGGCAGGCCGCAGATGGTCCCAATTGAGACCACTCCGGCTTCCGAACGGCAACCTGGACCCGTGCCTTTCGCATTGATGGATGCCGTGTGGTTTCGCAAGTCAACTCCGTTGAAGCTTAAGCGACGCAGATAAAACGAAATGCCCTCAAGCTACTTTTTCCAAATTCTCCACACAACACTAGAAAACGAACATCCCATAGTAATTTTCACTTCTCGATAATCCACAATGTTCTGGTCCTCACTCCCTTCAATACGCGCCTCTAATGCAACGGTCGCTTCGCAGAGTCCGGCTCCACCCACAGCGGTATTCGTCGGTGGAACAGCAGGAATTGGTGAAGGTATGGCAGTGACATTTGGGGAAGACACCAAAGGGAATGCCAACATCATCATCGTCGGACGGAACAGGGAGGCTGCAGAGAAAATTCTGGCAGACCTGCCCATACCTCAGGCGTCGTCATCGAAAGTCGCGAGGGAGTTCGTCGAGTGCGACGTGTCGTCGATGAAGAACGTTCAACAGGCGACGGAGCAGATTTTGGAGAAACACAAAAAGATCAATTATCTCATCCTTACGCCAGGGTTCATGACCCTTCAGGGATATAACCCCACTTCTGAGGGCATTGATAAGAAACTGGCGGTGCATTATTACGGGAGGTGGAAGTTCATTCACGACCTTCTTCCTGCACTGAACAAGGCGAAGGAAGCTGGAGAAGAAGGAAAGGTGTTGAGCGTCCTCGCTGCAGGATACGGTGGTCCAGTCGACCCCGAGGATTTTGGTCTCCAAAAGCCTGGCGCATTCTCATTAAAGGCAGCTGCACTAGCAACACCAACATATAATGACTTGATGATGCAGGTAAGCAATATTCGCATATACCCTGCGACTCACTCCTGCTGACTGACGAACTTGACTGCAGAAATTCACCTCTGTGAACCCCTCTCTTACATTCATTCAGTCTATGCCCGGAGGCGTACGCACGTCTCTCCTATCATCCTCCCCTTCCTTCGCATTGCGCTCTATGAATTTTATGACGCCCCTTATGGTACCATTCACCGTCAGCGCACGGGATTGCGGCGCTTACATGTGGAATGGTGTCTATACAACTGCATCTAAACCTGGTGCGTGGAGGTTAGGCGCTAAAGGGCAGGATTTGAAGGATTGGAGAATATATGGAGATGAGAGCCAGAGGGAAAAGCTTTGGGAACATACGAGCAAAGTGGTTGCAGACGCTGTTTCATCTAAGTAAACCGGGCATTAGTGTCTCGATTTACTAAATACTAGTTGTATATCATTTCCAAGCCTAATTTATTCTGCTCTGCTCGTGTTTCAACAGATAAAGGAAGAAGGAAACATAAAGAAGGAGTCAGACTTTTCTGTGCGGTAGCAGGACGGAAACTCAAGAAGTCAGGAATGACTCCTATCCCTCGTGGTCATCAACACTGATGGTGAAGCGGTTATCATGCTTGCCTTCCACTTCAGTGAGCAAGCGGCAGGGGTTCGACTCCCCTTCAGTGTATTTTTGGATTGGTTTTTTGGTCCTTATACATGTCAACGTCAGGTCAACCTTGCTATATCGGTGGACGTCAGACGGCCAACCTTTCTTCTCATCCTGCATGTGTAGAATAGACGCCAAACAAAGCTGTATATATCTGTAACATCGCATCTCAACCTCCTAAATTGAGATTGTTGTCGTGTCATCGTCAAGTTGTCAACAAGTAATAATACAGATGTTGTATAAGTAGTTGCATATCTAAAAAGCATAAGAATAACCAAACAAAAAAGCAAAATAAACGAAGAGTAGAAAACGTAAGTAAGCTCGTTAGTTAGATCGTCCCCTTTCCCATAGACCTTTCCCCAGGCCGCCAAATACACGGGTGTTACCAAGAACGACAAACCATCATAACCCCCTCAAAACAGTCTCAAACCTCTCTTCCAATTCCTCAATATCACGCATCATTCTCGTATGCCTCCTCTCCATATCCCCAAGCAGCGCATCTGCTGAAGCTCGTCTAACGTGAGTCTTCTTTATGCCGTTGGTCGTGAAACTGGAAAGAGGGGGGTTGGTTGGGATAGCAGGCATAGAAACGGATTTGGGGATGGGGGGGCCTGCTGGTCCTTCGGGCACGGGCCTGTTTCCAAATGGCAGAGGTTTCCTAGAGATCCCTGCCCCATTTTTCGTCTCCTGATTACTGTTCCTTTCCAGAGGCGTCAACTGCTCCTCAGACATCCCAGGCGGAGGCTGTAGCCTAAACTCCACATCCCCTGCCCGTATCGACTTATCAGGCACCTTGAGCACACCCGTAGCTGTAGTATTCGCCGCGCTGGTTCTGGTCGTGTTGGCAGTGCTGAATATGCTCTTCTCGTCACCTTCAACCGGCGTTGGGGCGGTCTGCACGGCCTGGGGAAGCTTATTACTTTCCCCACTTCCACTACCACTTCCATTAGATGCAGCGCTCAACTTTGTCGTACTTGTACTCGTAGCGACGCTTGTTGTGCTCCTCCCGGTGTTCAACCCAAACCCAAGCCCACTTCCGCTCCCACTTCTCATCCTCGTGAATGTCCCGGTAGAAGTGAGGTACCCAGACACAGTCGGTGTTGTGCTCCTAAAGTAGCCGCTGACACTAGGGGTAACACTTCGTCTGGAAATGGACATCATACTCATCGCACTGCCCGGTCTTGGGGATGGAGATGGACTAGGTGGGTGGGCGCCTTCAGATTCCGTTTCTGTATCAGTGTCGGTAAAGTCTCCAGCAAGGCTGGGCGGAGTTGACGAATCAACGTATTGCTGTTGATCCTGGTGGTTGAACCCGAAGCCAGTAGTGCCAGGTACAGGAGGGAAATCCAGAAGCGGGTTGGTTGTGTTATTGGTATTATTAGGATCAAAGTTTCCCGATCCACGTTTTGATCTCCCCGAATGAGAGTTGCCAGTCCCGCTGTAATCCGGTTTTGGGATCGGAGTAGCCATCGGGTCAAACCTCAACTCTTTCCTACTGCTCTGGTGCTTCAATTCCGCAGTACTACCCGACCTTGACCTCGTGCCTCCTCCTTGGCTACCTTCCCCGCCGTTTCCAAACTGCTGCCCACCCCCGCTTCTCCCATTCATAGTACCGCCACTAAACCTTCCTCCAAATCCATCCAACAACCTCGGCTTCCTGCCACTCTCCAACACCTTCTTTCTCGCACTCATACCGACACAGTCAACCAGCATCTTCATTGCCTCCCTGTCGCTCACACTCCTCCTAGGTGCCGTTCTTCGGATCGTTCCTGTGCGCAACACAGGTCCTGGAACATATCCTGTACCGCCTGGTCCAAGTGTACTGGTAAATCGGAGAGGTGTCATAAAGGCAGCAGGCAAAGGACGAGGAGTCGAGAATGCATGTTGTGAAGGTACAGAGAGCGTATTGGTGTTCCTCTGAACTGAGAATACGGGAAGTGGTGTCTGGTGGACAGTTGCCGGCATTTTGCTCAGAGGTCTAGGCGTGCTCGCCACCTCACCAAACCCAAACTCAGGCGGAGCGAAGCTGAACATCGACTTCTCGCCCTGTGCTGGGCCTTCCGATACTGGTGGTGATGATGAAGGAAATGCATCATGAGGAGGACCCCAGGAAAATCCGATGAAACTCATTGCCGAGTTGTCGTCCTTCCTTCCAGTCAACGAGGCACGGAGGTATGACGAGCCTGTGCTCATACGTAGTGCTGCGTGTCCAGTGTTCACATTCCCAGTTTCGTTCCCATTACGGCTTGGACTAGGTCTCAAAACCGACACACCATGCGACATGTTCGAAGAAGGTTGAAAAAAGATAGAAAATGGAAATGGCTGGGAAGATGTCTCGTCGTATGGAGCTTCTGGTTCTGGAGCGGAATTGTTGTCATCTGTGTTTGTAGCAGGGGGAGGTGCGTTGTATGTAAATTGTGGGAGGTGTAAATCAGACGGTGCGGGTTGGAGGTTCAGGTCGCGCCAGTTTACAGCTTCAAACACGGGATGATCCGTAATTTCCATCACGTTTCTGCGACCTAGGCGGTGTTTAGCGTTTGTCAGGAGCCTACATGATATTTCTTAAGCACAATGAAGAGTATTAAACGATTGATCAAGATTCACCTATGGAGGAAATGTTGAAGCTGAGGCGAGATTTGGATGCCTTTGTCAAATTTTAGGCTTCTCTGTTCAACATTTTGATCAGTATATGTTGATAATGAAATGTGAAAAAAAGCAGATAGACCTCATGGTTCATAATCCTGTTATAGGTCTGCCTGACATCGCCCGCGAAAAATGGGGCAACGCCATATACCATTTCATAAAGCATGGCACCGAAGCTCCACCAATCAGTTTCAACCCCATAGCCTTCTTCCTCCTTGCCATCGCCCTTCCCCCCATTCAGATTCCCTCTGCCATCGTCCTCATCTTCCATCTCCATCTCGACTAAAGCCTGCTCGTGTGCCTGAAGAATTTCTGGAGAGACATAGTCGCACGTTCCGCATGGGACCAGACAATATCGCTTGGGGAGTAGTTGGCTTCCATCCGCGTTAGGAGGGAGTAACGGCGCTGCTGATCCAAAGTCGATGAGAAGGATATGTGCTGTGGGTGTCAGGACGAAGTTGTGTGGTTTGATGTCTCTGAGAATGCGATACGCTATGAGTCCTTTATAGAAATCCGATGAAGACATAGATACAAACCGATGCGCGAAACCCTGACTGTGACACCAATGAATGGCACTGACGATCTGCGGGGCCCACCATGCTAAATCACTTTCCAAGATACGTCCGTCGTGAGGGCTTGACTCTAAGACATCCCAAAGGTTACCGCCCTCTGCATAATCCATGACAAGATTGAGATGTGTTGGCGTTTGGAACGCACACAGTAGATGAGGAGCCCAAGCAGAATCTGATTTCCGTGCTTGAAGGAGGAGGTCGCGCTCGTGTTGAGGAAAACATTGCTACATGACAAGTAAATGATGTCAGATATGGATTGCGAGAGACGAGAGAAAACAAGGCGTACGTCTTTGGCACGTAGTGCAAACCTCTTGTCTATCGATTTGCGAATGTACACGGCATTGTTTAGACGACATGTTACAACGTCGATCTGTGGTCAATACAATGTGATCAACCAAGCAGCCGAGATCAGATATTGAAGCGTGATTTGTTTTTTTTAAATGACCTGCCTTTCCAAACTGTCCGTATTCTAGCGTCCCGACGACATTAAGATCCTTGTTTTGAAATCTCAAGGAGTCGACTTCAATAGTTTTAGCTATAAAACAATGGATATCAGTGAATGATGACACTCAATCTAAAACCATTTGGTATATATGGATCAGTTAACGGACAGTAATGTAAACGCACATGTCTTTCCAATGACATTCTGACCATGCATTAGTCTGTCTAGCGCCAGCGCCTCGCCATCGTCGTCGCCAGGATTTTTGAGCAGCGAAGCGAGTCGTGCTTTCCGCTGTTGCCATGAGAGCGACATGCATCAGGCCCCTTCGTTCCTCAAATCCCGATTTCGTCCAGATCCTTAGAATATATATAAAATGATTGCGGAATGTAGATGAAATGAGGTGAAATGAGGGTAGGATGGAGGAAGGACGAGACGAAAAATAATGTCGATGGTGGTGGTTGGTTGAAGAATGGATATAAATGGGAATTTGTTCCTATTTAGGCTGTGTCCGATGCGCATGCTTTGTCTCCAACCTCGGTAAATATCTCACTCCATTGACACATACTGACAGGGCCATAAAAAGTGACCGATGGTGCAAAATTGCTTTTAGAGGAATAAAGCGCATAATTTGCAAAAATCATTTCACAAAGCGGTGAATGTCTTCTGAGGGCTGGCCATGCCAGTGAGGATAGGGGGCTTGAATTGCTACCGCGCTTCGACATGGACAATGGACATTAACATATCAAGTAAATTATTCACAACATGTAGACATCCATGACAATAATACCAGCTATACTGCTATAGATCGTATTAAGGCGGTTTTTTCATGAAGGCGGTCGTATATTTTCATCTACAGCAGTCATTTGAAGATCCTTCGAGTCCTTGACCTAGGAGGCCCAAAGGTGATTGGTGATAAATTGTTAGTCGTTAATCATGACTTGGACAGATTTGTTCTGGCTGCAAATGCTACCTGCAGTACACATTGCAGATTAGCCCGTTGCTCAGGTATATCTAATCATTCTAAGGGCATTCCGAAGCTTTATACGTTTACTTCGCCACCTTTAAACGCCCATAAAGACGGTATTCTTCCGAGCCGCACTTGTCGTCACCGTGAGGGCGAGGACTTTGTCATCACCTCGAATTGACTGGAGCGATCTACATTCAGAATTCGCAGAAAATCCCGACTCTTCACAAACCGAACACTAATTAGAACGCGTCGCGACTTTGAAATGCAGCATGAACACCTTGAGAGTGGCAACCCCCAATGTTCTAGAATTGCTAGAACATCTACCCGACAAATCTTCCCTCAATGAATATCCACATCATCTCACATGCCTCCCGATTGTCCAAGGACATTCTCCTTG